CAGGGTCTCCCTGTAGCCCCAGCCATCCTGGAACTCACTATGTAGACCAGGCTGGCCTTGACCTCCCCGAGATCCGCCTGCCTCTGCCTCTTCCAAGTGCTAAAGGACTAAAGGTGAGCACCACCACGCCTGGCTAAAATGCTTAATTTTTAATGTCATATTAGATAAAATTAATTAAAAAATTTTGCCAAAACAAAACAAAACAATAACAACAACAAAGAAATGATGACTGTCTTGTAGTCTTTGTGTTCCTAGCAGAGTTCTACAACAACCTGAGAAGCCTATGAATTTCACTGTGATGTCTACCTTGTAACTTAAGGCTCACTAGCTCCAAATGTTTCTGTAACAGAAAGAAACATCTGTCCTTGTAGGGCTTCTCTGAATACTGCCCTCGGTAGCACTAATATTCATTTCCCATGAGGGGTCCTGAGGTCCTTTAAGCTCTTTATCTTTTAACAAACTCCCTGAGTAATTCAATGCATACTAAAGTTTAGAAGACAGAATACCAGATGATTATGTTTGAGTTCATGCTCATTCAAGGTCAAGTAAATTGAAGCTCAGAAAGAATGTTTTCCTGGTGGAGATAATGCAGGTGGACACAGAAGTCATTTACTTGGTGACGAGTTGCATCAAGTGCTGCTACTTCATGGTTTTGATTCTGGGAGGACAATGATCATTTGTCATTTCAGGCAGATTTTCTAGGGCAGAAAATGCACTGGCTTGTTGGTGTAGGATTTTGTTCTTCCCTGTACTTATTCAAATCAGGCATTGTCCATATAAACCTGTCAGTTGTGGGTCTTCAGTAGTTTAGAACAGACCCAAAGTATATGAGGTTGTGAACACACAGACATGTTTCCCAATAGAGCTCTGCAACAATCTGAGTGGCCTGTGGGCTTTACTTTGTCGTCTCCCTTTGTAATTCAAGGCTCACTGATTCCACACATATCTGTCTAAGAAATCTGTTCTTGTGAGATTTCTCTGCATAGAGCCCTCTATAGTACTATTACCCACTTGTCCCTCAGAGATTCAGAGGCCCTTAACACCTTTTCTCCTCTTGGAAAATAAAGTAGCATCAATAAGATGAGAGGATGAGGTTTAGATCAATTTTAGTACATATTTTCATCACAAAAGGATAAATTTCACAAGTGGAACACGTCCTTGTTTCCATAATTCCCCATACTTGCTTGATTTCAGGGTTGATCATGTAAAATTTAAATCTGTTTTGGAATCTAATTCAAGTGATCTAACATAGTTGTAGGATACCATCATGGACTGTTCTTCCATAGAAAAGGTTGGAGAGGACAGTAAAAGATCTGATATTTAAAAAAAAAGGTTGGAGAAGGGACAGTGGGCCAAAACCAGGACTATGTTAGAGCAGAGGCCTCATTGCTAGCAAAAAACTTGTTCCATTTGTGAATTGTTGGCCTTGAGGGATGCTGTTCTCAGACTGAACAAGACAACATAGAGTAGAGGTTTGAGGCCAGTTTTTGATAAAAAGAGACAGAAGTAATATTACCAACGTTTTTGCTTCAATATATTAGTAAATGAAAACTTTACTCTGTTTCTCTGCTATAAAAATCAAAAGTTGGCAACAGCTCAAACAGGAGTCAGCTGTGGCTCTGGTACATGACTAAAGCAAATCAATAGGGACATATATGCATTCTCTCTTAGATTAAGCGCCTGTTCCACTGCTTCTCCATGTCAGGTATGTACTAGGCACGTAGAATCTCATGTGTATTATCAACATACAAAATAAGGGGACATTTCCATTCTTTGAAAGAAAGTATACAATGAAATAGAGAAATTAAGCAGAGGCAGTTAATGGAGCATAAATTGATTTCTATAAAGACACAGAATAACATTTGTAATAAATGATTTGAAAAATTGAATGGTAACATTAAATGATCGTGTCCATGAACAACCAAGTTTAATCATGAGGGCACAGGTGAGGTAAAGATGTGATTATTCTGAAGGTTACAAGGTATTTGAAGAAGGAGAGACATGGGATTCTCAGAGATAGAAGATGTTAAACTCATTTAAGTAGATGTCAGGTTAAAAACTATACTTAAAAATTGTATTGAGATATATTCCAAAACTTTTCTTCAAAATGTGGTAAAGGGAGAAGTTATGAGAGGAGAGTTCCAGACAGAGCCTTTCAGCATTCTGTAGCTATGTGAAGCATCTATACTTTCTCTTTGAGGAGAGTGAGACATTTAGGAAGGTCTAGAAAAAGCACAGTGGCCATGTTTGTGATTTCAGAAGCTAGAAGTTTCTAGTTATAGATTCTCTCCAGTCATCAGGTTGATTGCCTTTGACATACAGGAACTCTGACCTTGGTTGGCATTTATGCATTTGGAAAAGAAGACTTGTCAACATGAAGTGATTCGGGCATGTGGCTGTTTCAGGAGCCAGGCTGAAATCATTTAGCTTTGAAAGACTTCCCCCAACTCTGGGATTTTAAGACCCTCCTCCATGCTGCTTTTACATCTTTGTTCCTCAGGGTATAGATGAGTGGATTAAGTAGTGGTGTGAAAACACAGTAGAAGAAGGAGAGGAACTTGGATTGAGTGCTGTTGGCTGGGGGCTGGAGGTATGTGTACATGCCTGGTCCAAAGAACATGGTGACAACCAGCAAGTGGGAGCTGCAGGTACTGAATGCCTTGTGCCTTCCTTCAGCTGAAGGAAACTTCAGCACAGCCTTGGCAATAAATGTGTAGGAGATAAGCACAGTAAAGGGTGCCACTATTCCAAAAGGAACAGATCCTAAAGTCAGGGACAGGTCATTGGTTGTGGTGTCACTACATGCCAGCTTGAGCAGAGCTGGCACCTCACAGAAGAAGTGGTCCAGGGTGTGTTGCCCACAGAGGGGAAGTTGGAGTGTGAGTGTGGCTTGGAGCAGAGAATTGGCCAGGCTACTGGCCCAGCATGCAGTTGCCAACCACGCACATGCCTGGGGATGCATGATGAGAGCGTACCTGAGGGGTTGGCAGATGGCCACATATCGATCAATGGCCATCACTGCCAGCAGGACACATTCATTGTAGCCCATCCAGCTGAAAATATAGACCTGTGTGATGCAGCCCCAGGAGGTGATTGTCTTCTCTGGTCCCCAGAGGTTGTTCAGCAGCTGTGGGACAATGGTGCAGGTGACACAGAGGTCCACCACAGAGAGGTTGTCTAAGAAGAAGTACATGGGTGTCTGGAGTCTGGGATCCACCAGTGAGAGGAGGATGATGGAACTATTTCCCATCAGAGTTAGAATGTGGGAGACCAGAACCACTCCAAAGAGGGGGATCTCCAGCCACGGATGATCTGAGAAGCCCAACAAGACAAATATACTGGGGAAACTTACATTTTGTCCTTCCATGGCCACCTGCATTGTATATGCCTGGGAGAAAAGAGAACAAGCCTTTCCATTTCAATATTTCCATGTGGACATTCTCAAAATTCCCACTGCATTGGTGAAATATCCTCCATAACTCTGAGTAATTTTCCAATACCTGGCTGATTCTAGTAGTTAACTTTCAAAAGAGTCAGAGCCTGAATAACCTAAACCTACCGAAGCGTCTACAGAGAACCCATAAACACCTAGGAATCTGTTCATATAAATCTCTCTGTGTTTCACTCTCTCCCCCATTATTTCCCCTTAAAAAAACTCCACATAACATTCCTTCCTCTACCCCATTCATACTGTTCTCATGTCATGTGAAAGGGTCATGAGGCCTTCATCTGACACATCTCTTTCCAGAAAGTAATTAAGGGAAACATTTCCTAATATTTCCTTTAAGCGCAGGTAAGTGAAGGATGCTGGGACTCACTTGCATGGCAGTTCAGAGATTCATAATGCAGATACAAATCTATGTGAATTCATTCTGCTAGGCAAGTTCATGAAGTGGAATTAATTTTAGGAAATTACCTCATTTTAATCCCAGCCTTTATCATGATAATGTGTATTTGACATTAAAGTAATAGTTAATCATGGTTAAATATCTAGTTCTAGCTTACTAAAGTAAACCATACCCTCCCCCCCCGTTCATCTCATCCCCAGAACCTGGAACCCAACATTCTACCTACTTTTTGTGTTATTATTTTTTAATGGAAAGAAAAAAAATGAAATAGATTTAATGTGAATTTTTGCCAGCACCACATGACTTTACTTTTTAATGCATATTTTAATTGAGTTTTTATGCATTTCATATGATAGATGTTAATCATACTTATACCCCTCCTCCATTTGCATCCCCGTATAGCTCCTCAGCAGATTTCATGCATTCCTTCATACATGTTAAGGCTTATTCGGTTAAGCGTTTGTACCCAGATGTTCCTCAGCGCAAGTGCATCCACTGGAATCTAGTCAGCCTATCTAGAGTCCCTCCCTTAAAGAAGATCAACTCTCCCTCACCCTTGATTAGTCTGAATATCTCAGAGAAATACTGTCACACAGTATTTGTAGTTGTCATTGGCTTATTTCACCTTTGTCACATTGTCCAGATGCACCTACGCTCTATCAGAAGTCAGAATTCCCTATCTTCTTAAGGCTGCACAACATTGTATTCTGCACATGTACTACAATTCCCTTTGTATTTTTGTGTCTGCTCCCCTTTGAATAACGTTCTGTGGTTTTACAAATGCTTCTTTGGCATTGTTTCCAATTCTTTGAGCGCATACACAAAAGGAGAACATCTCGATCTTATGATAATTCTGTTTTTCTCTTCTATGGTGGATTTCAGGATCTCTGCACAACCTTACATTCCTACCTCTAGTGCCCGAGGCTCCAATTTTTCTCTATGCCCACCAATTCTTGTTAAAATAGTTTATGATTTGAAGGCTGTCGATCATCTTATCCTTGACTACCTGCACGGTTTCACGTTTCTTTCTGTGTGGCAGGCTATCTGCAGTGAGATTTAATGTACTTGGTGTGAGCCTTGCTCAGCTAATTCTCTTTGGTTATGTTGACTCCTTTGAAGTTGACACTCTTGTCTGTCATGGGCTTAGCAAGTTTTGGGCCGTGGTTTCTTCCAGTGTTGCCTCAGACCTACCCGCTTCTTTCTAAGAGGCCCTGTTGCTATGTTGTATTGGTTGAGGGTCACACAGGCCCTCATGTCTGATTATTTTCTGTAGCAGTTTTCAGGCTGCTATTTAACTTGATAAGTTCCATTTTTTATCTTCCAGTTTGTTGATTCTGTCTGCAGTATGCTTAAAGCTGTCTTTTGATTTTTCTATTATTATTATTATTACCATTTACTGTACTTTTTATTTTGGCATTTCCTTTTGGCTTGATTTTTGTTTTCCATGTTTCTAATGACATGAACATTTTTTTCATGCATTGGTATCTCTTTAGTGAAGGATCTGGTCCTTAAAAACATTGGTAGTCACTTCATCCAGAGACGGAGGGGCCAGAACAAGGAATGCTGGTGGAACAACATATCTGGACGCTTGTCTGTGGCCCTCTGTTCAGATTTAGTGATCAGTGAAGAGATACATGATATTTGGGACAGGGTCCTGGTCCCACACGACTCCTGAAAGCTATCCACAAACTGCTCCAGGATGGCATGCTCGGCTCCCTGCTATGGGCTTACTGGTGGATGAATAATTGCTCGCTAGATGTGGTGGCCAAAATTGACCACAACTCACAGACCTAGATTTTCTGTTGAAATGAGAAGCTTCTAGTAGTCTCCTGAGGTCCAAAATAGTTACATCCCAGATTCTGTCAGTGTACTGGTGGTCCATGTGGGGAGGCAGAGTCCTAGTGCATCTGACTCTGCTGTCCTCCCAGCATCTTCCTCTCTGTTTCATGGGGCACCTGCCTTCTCAGTTTCTGCAGCCCCCCCCAACCTCCTCATGCGTTTACTTCTTTCATCCTCATCCATTCTCCAACACTTTCCCATTATCTTTTATGCTCTTTTATGTTCTTTCACATTTTTCTGAACTAGATCATGCATTTATTGTATGTTGTAGAATTTTGAGATTATAGCTTCATATCTTTCCTCCTACAGATTTCTTACCAAATGTTCTGCCAACATCTCAAGTTTAGCTCATTCCCTGTTCAGCTCTCCACCATTTAATTTTGAGATGATTTCTTTCCTCCTCCTTTACTGTACTCAGTGGAATGTAAACTAGCAGAGGAAAGTGTGAGTTTATTTTACCAAACGCTTAGAACCTATGTGAGAAATAAAAAGTCATCTTGAATGGTGCTTTGCCAGAAAGAAAAATGACTTAGTTTCCCTTTGGATTTACTTTGAATGTAAACAAAATAAAGGCAATAAAAGCACCTATTAGCTTTGACTTCCTCCTTTAACCTAATTTTTTCCAAGCCATCTTTTCCACATGGTAGTCTGAATTCTGAAGAGCCATATCTGCTACAGTCCCTGCTCCCTTCAAGTAACACCAACAGACTTGCAATAGCAGTGTAACAGGCAGTATAGGAGGTCCAGCTTGAACCTGATCTTCAAAGGAAAGTCAGAAGAAGATTTTGTCCATACTGGCTTCCAAAGAAAAGGTGAAGCACTGGTCCTGAGAACAAGAACATTTCTCAGCTTGAGAGGGGCACTGCCCACTCACTGTCTCATAAAAGCTCTGAGAATTTGGTATCTCTTGAAGAGTGGTCTTGAGACAGCAAATCTTGACCTACTTCTTCAAGCTGGACTTGAACAATTATGTTGTCTCCACTAAATTCTGTAATCTTTTTTTTTCAGTAAATCAATTAGTAGTGGAACCTACTCATAATAACTCAATTTACAACTTTGATGAGATTAGTATGGAGAAAACAATCCGGGGTCCTAAGTGCCATGGACTCTGGTGATTCCCACTGAGAGACAGTGATCACTTCAGAGAAAGGAACTTAAGAAACTTCTGTCAGCCCCATGGGTATGATATTAAGGACAAATTTGCCCTGTCAGTTCCCATCTTATATTCCGGGATTCTCCCTGCTTTTCTCAATGAAGTATTGGCTACTGATTAAATGCCTTATGGACTGGCAAATGACTCAGTGGGCAAAGGCACTTGCCATCAACCTGAGTTTGATACTGGGACCCACATGGTGGAAGGAGAGCACTGACACTTCCAAGTTGTCCTCTGACCTCCACAAGCATGCTGAAGACATGTGCCCCTTCCCTGTGTACATACATATTAATAAGTACATGAACATGTATAATTGCTCCTTGTTTTTGGAAAAAGCATGGCACTGACACTTCCAAGTTGTCCTCTGACCTCCACAAGCATGCTGAAGACATGTGCCCCTTCCCTGTGTACATACATATTAATAAGTACATGAACATGTATAATTGCTCCTTGCTGTTGGAAAAAGCACGGCTGAGCCTTGAATTTTTTTGAAACTCACTAGTTGAGCTTCTGTGCAATATGCTTATCTGTTGGTATTTATTTAGTGAACATTTTTCTTTTTATATGTGTTTTCTTTAAGAACCAATGAATTACCTACAGGCTGGTAAACCTTTTCTCTTTCATGCTTGGGGACTGAATAGTCTTTTGGACTTTGATTTGGTCACTTTGTCATTCCGGGTGGTATGGAGTCTATTATCTCCATCATTGGAGGCTTGGCTAGCTGTTCAGTTTGTTCTTGGGCACTGCTAGTGTGTGAGAAGTTTCAATGGGCTAAAGTTCCCAGGAAAATTGTTGGTTTGAAGAATATTCATTTACTTAGTCTTTTGTTGTTCTCTCTTTAGAACTGTTTTTATTTCCAAGATGGACAGCTTAGTCTCAATGCCAGTTAATAGTCCTCTGGGCCTCACTCTAACTAACTATATACAGTAGTCTAAGACCGTGAAGAGTTGACATCTACTGTAACATGCATGGCCTGTGTATGTGTTAGATTCTTTTGAAAGATGGCTGCCTAATGATTCTCTCACATAGCATGTGACAATCGGAATTATTTTGTCAAAAATTATGTAAATGGGTTGAAACCATTCATACAAGTTTTCCTGCTATTAATGAGTCCTCTAAGGCAGGGAGAGCTAAGTTGATGGTTCATTGAGGACTGAAGGATCTTATTCTCCTCCTGTATGCTGAGACTCAGGAGGAAAGGGAAAACAAATTAAGTTTTGCTGTAAAAATGCTGCCATTAGAGTTGAAACCACAGCATCATCAGTTCCCATTAGCAAAGAAGATACTATTGGAGCTGTGTCTACTCCTCCATGTGAAACGGGGGCAGGATTAATATCCTTTTAAGATCTTACAGTTGGACCAGGGATCATCCTATTTCAGGGCATGGCACTTTAAGACAGTATCCAGGAATTTTGAACAGAGGACAACAGACAGTATAATACTGGATTTCATAGTTTCCCTCAGTTGTTAATTTGACATACCTGGAAAGTATCAAATTCCTCCATCAAGGAATTTCCTTATTCAGATTTTCCTGTGGGC